TCTTCTCTCTTCCTCTTTCTTTCTCAATCTTGTTCTTCTTCGTTGCATGCTACTAACTTATCCTTGCATAAATATTACATCTTCATGGTAGTGGTGTAACTTAAAAGTCTTGTTAAATTAGCTTAATGACTGGACAACTGAATGACTTAAAGAAGAGCTGACCTTTTTGGTTTTTCATGGCTTTGTGAAGGAACACTATAAATGGCTAGTTAGCTTCTCAATTCTGTGACCTCCTGACAAATAAAAGAGATTATACAATTCAATGTCTTCCTTGGGTGTGCTTTGGGTCATCCTGTGACCATTGGTAATCTTAATTTATCTGAGCCAAAAATATAGGCAGGCATAAATATGGCTAAATAAGCGTACACATCCATGTTCTGTAAAATGATCTTCAGAAAAACAGAAGCAACTTTTGTTGAGTGTAATTCTCTTTGTTGAGTTTTTTTCATCAGTTGGAACTTGGCAGGTTAATCAGTACATAATATGTTACTATATAAACATGAACAAACTAGTTTCGCCATTAGATTGAGATCAACTTTGGAAGAAATAATAAATACGTTCACATTTAGGTGGAGCCCGGAGGGTTGTAAATGGAATCTCCTAAACGCGACCTATTGCAAGCCAAGAAAGCATCACTGTTAACTATTGAGAGATAGCGGGAGAGAGACTTGCAATACAACAACATGAAGGCTTCTGGTACTTCTAGTTGTATCCTACCATGATGTACCTCTATATAGGCCCTTGTTTGTTGTAGGTTGAAATCAGATTTTTAGTAAATTTTGATAAAAATTGATGAAATGTGATTGAAAAGTTGTGGATTTCATGAAATGTGTGGTTAAAATTAATTTTTGACTTTGACTATAATCAGATTTTAATCGGGAACAAACAGGGGCTTAATTAGAGTGTGTTTGGTAGGGATTTTTAGGGAAAAAATTGATTTTTGAATAGTAATATGATGGGAAATATGTGGTTGGAAAAGAAGAAAAAAGTATTGATGTGATGAAAAATATTATTTTATTGAAAAATGTGTGGTTGAAAATGAGCATTGATTTTCTGTAGAAAATGAAAATCTGTACCAAACAGGCTCTTAGTTTCTTTCATTATACAGAAAATATTTGGGGCTTTTAAGGATAGTGAATTTGTCTCGTGTTAGCGGACAAGTATTTTTCATGTTTATTTCCTATTTCATATAAGATTTGGTTGCTGGTGCTCCAAGGGGCCGCAACCCATTCGTTAGTACGACTAAGCAGCTGAACATCATCAATTATCTAATAATCTAGAAAAGTGAAACTTTGATTAGAATATTTGTAAGTCCACAAAGCAATGTGTATCACCAAATTGTCCTTTAACCCTTTGAATTGTAGTCTCCATGGTTCCAAAAGTTCATTGTTTCCTTCCTTTATTAGCACCGAGACTGGATTACATTTCTCTATGCCCGTTATACAGGCTTCAATGCAGAAACAAATTTTTGAGGCATTGAGCATGTTTCAGGTGGTTTGTACTTGAAAATAAGCCAAAATAAGTTACATTTAAAACTTATTTTTTAGTATAAGCCAATCTGAACTTGCTCGTTGTCCACGATCAATTATGCATTGATAGAAACAAGAGCTAAAAGGATATGGATAGTAACATAGGGACATAACAATTTGACAACAAACAATGAAGAAGAAGAAGAGAAACGAGAAAGAAAAAGGAGAGTCGAGAGAAAATTTTGGGCAAGAAAGTATCAATCTTTTTCATGTATTCATGGGTACCTATTACAATGAATAAGCCACCTATATATAGGAAAAAAGTGATAAAATCAAAAGAATATCTAATAAACTAGAACTTTATAAAAATATTAAAATTAATCTAATTTAATCTAAACAAACATAATTTAAATTGAACTCTACATTAAAATCCTATCTAAATTCTATCTTTATTCTTATCTTCATCCCCATCAGGCAGTTTCACAATAAAGTATATGTTGCATAGTAGTTTTCTAATCCTTTTCGAGAAGCAGTCTGCAATTCACATAAATATTCTGTATAGTTAAATGTTTCCACATCTGTAACCTCCATGGCGGCATCTGAAGCAAAAAAGCCACTGTTTGAGTAGCCTTGCAATGAATTATTATTGTGAGTCATGCCTCAGTTTGTCATAATTTTAAACTCTAAAAATTATATTTATGGTCCCTCATGTTTTCTCTCTTTAATTTTTACTCAATTCCTTTTTAATATGACAATTTCGGTATATATTAAGATTCTCTGGCATAGCCTTTTTATACTCGATGTTCTTTAAGTTCTTGTTGAAAATTGTACTGGCTTTTCTGCCTTCCCATCCAAGGATACCCATCACTGTCATTTTTATTGGTTTATGTTTTATATATATATATTCTCATACATGTAGCTAATTGTTTCATGATTTTCATGTAACAAATAGCAAATAAAAAAGCAGTTGTCTCTTTCTGCAATGGGAGGGAGAGAGAGAGAGAGGGGGGGAGCGGGAGGGGGAGGGGGAGAGAAATGTTCCATCTGTTGAATTGTTCATGCTCCCCACCTTAATGTTATATAGCATCAAACTCGTTGCATTTTTTAATTAATTTTTTCAGTAGTGATGTTGCATGTTCTAATTTTAGACAGGTTGGATGACAACATAGTTGCATTTCATTCTCGTTATATCACATTTTACATCAAGCATTTTGACCCTTCCCTCACTATAGTTTGATGACATGCAGTCCTCTTTTAGGCATACTGTTTAAAGAATTTCTATTTTTTTTTGCATTCCTTGTGCTAATTGGTTTTCATTTTCTGAAAGATCCATCTTACGCTGCTTTTCATGATGAAGAGTGGGGAGTTCCTGTCCATGATGATAAGTATGTGACTCCTTCCAGCTTTATTTACTTTTTTGAGTTTTTGGCTTCCAATGTTAGTCGACCCCATTTTATGGCTTCCTCAATCTTAATTTATGTGCTTTAACAATTTGCAGGAAACTTTTTGAATTGTTGAGCTTTTCCACTGCATTGGCTGAACTGACATGGCCTGCCATTCTTAACAAAAGGAATATATTTAGGTATCTTAGTATTATATGTTATATTTTGAACAATCAGACAATGGTTGCAGAAATTTGAATATTACAATTTTCATGAACTTCTTCGTTGCTGATTACATGTGTGCGTATCTGAGTGCAGAGAAGTCTTTCTGGACTTTGATCCAATTGCAGTGTCAAAATTAAATGAGAAGAAAGTAGCAACACCAGGAACTCCTGCCAGCTCTCTTCTGTCGGAACATAAGCTGCGAGCAATAATCGAAAATGCACGTCAAATCTGTAAGGTAAGTGCTGATCGCGTTGTTTATTGTACCACACTTCAGGATTTACATTTTTCCTGATTAGTTTCACTGATGTATTAGAATGTTCTTGATGTCTTTGTCAGAGTTATTGTTTTTCTTCTTAGGGATTAGGCAACATTGCCTTTTGAACCTTAAGCTGTAGTAAAAAGGCTAGATATTTATTAGAGTGACAATGAGGAAGTTAATATTGTTATCCTTGTTTCTCACATTATAAGCCAATAGCTTCTGAGCACTGACTTCTCAGGCATGATACCAAAGTAATTGCTTAGTTTTTATTTGTATCTCTAACAAAAAGATAGTGTTAAGCTTAGTTAGTTTGTTTTATTCATCTCCTCCAAAAGGGTTAGATAGCTATTAGCCATGTTCTAGTTTATCATCAAGTATTTTCTTCAACCAGAACTGATTGATAAAAGATGGGCAAGTAGCATATAGAAGAATTTTGAATAACTTTATTTTCTTTTGCATGTATAATTTGACAACGTGACAAAAATGGGTCTACAACTGGTACCTTGAACTTGTAATACAGTTGGGTTCACCAAGAACCCAATACCAAATTTGTTAATCCAGTAATCACTGCTCTTGAACAATAAGAAGACTGTAAAGAAGGTTTGGAAAAAAATTTAGTAATAAATTAACTTGGATGGACAATTGGTCTCATGTTTGTACTTTGATCATGATGCAGATAATAGATGACCTAGGGTCTTTCGACAAATATATATGGAGTTTTGTTAACTACAAGCCTATAATTTGTAATTTCCGCTATCCTCGACAAGTTCCTATTAAGACTTCAAAAGCAGATACCATAAGCAAAGACTTGGTTAGAAGAGGGTTCCGAGGAGTTGGGCCTACAGTTGTGTACTCATTTATGCAAGCAGCTGGAATTACAAATGACCATCTCATCAGCTGTTTCAGATATCAGGATTGTATAGCTGCAGGAGATTTAAGAAATGAGGATGAAGGCCTCAAGACGATGAATGAAGGCGAGACAGCAGAAGAGATCATTGAATTGGAACTAGGTAGAGCTATTGATGATTTGGGTTTTCACCACTTGGTATAAATTATTTTATATTCACTTTGAAGCATTGTTATCTAGTATGTGAAGAGGTAGTTTACTACACTAGGATTGGCTCATGTATGCCTTGAAGTTTAATTGTTATGAATTAATTATTCATTTCTATGTAGATCACTTAAATAGAATTTCACCGTAGAGAAGTCTATTTCCCGTGTTCCCAAAATGTTTTATGATGTTCTAATAATACGCGCATGCATCCACATATGGAGAAAGATTGTAGCACTTTCAATGACTGGTTAACAGTGGTGATGATTGTAGGAGAGGATCTGTGTTTCTAATGTATCTATACTGAGTAGTATCTGCTTGTGTACGATGATATACTCCATGTCTAGGCTAAACTTTTGTCCATCTTCATCTTAGTGATAGTATTCTGTTGAGAGTTTATATTTAAGTCTTTGAATCCTGCCTCCGCCCCCACCTAGATGTGTGTGCATGTGAAGGCCCCAGTGTTTGTGATATAGAGACAATTATGACTTGTCCATAGAATGACTGAATAATATAATAATTTTATATTTTCTTTTGAAACATTTGGATATGTGTTTCCCTTAAAAGAAATTCTATGCTAGATTACCTACCCCTCCACAAGTAAGCTTTTGCTCAGTGTGATGAATCAACCATTATAGCTTTTGGCTCATACAAAACCCTCATAAGTCATCACAATTTCTAACTATGGCTGGATTAGGTCGGTCCCGGATTTATTTTTTGGGTCCAGTCTACCATTTGGGCCAAGAGAACGAATTGGTTTTCCATTCCAAGCGCTAGTCTTCATGTCACGTCAGTTTGTATCAACTAGTTCATTCCTTCCACAGTGTCAAAGGCCCCAAAATACCTTAAACTTCATTTGAGCGATTGCCATTTTCCTTTCTATGCTTTATTCTGCTGGAGAAATTTCCCTGAAATGGCAGCTGCTAGGCTTGCTTTGAAGTTGGGATCTTTTGTTAGTATAGAAGCCATTTGCTCCACCAAATACTGTTTGAATTCTGGTGAATCAATTTTTCTGTTTGAATTTCTTGCACTATCAGTAGTTTGCTTTGGTTTTGTAAGATCAAGTGTAATGGTCGACCTGGATGAGCTGACAGAGGTCGGGGCCGTGCCAAGTGTCATGCACCGGTTGGAGCCTGAAGTGGACTCAAGTTTTGAGGGTTGAGGATGGTTGTGCTCGCCTTCATATGTAGCAACTAGAATAGATTGGTCGTCTATACTTCTTTGAACCTGCATAAAGATGGAAACAACTTAGAATGCTACATCTAGAATTTTAAACTAGTTGGAGAAGTCTTAGGAAACACTAATGTTCGCTTCATTGCAAGAAAATAATATAAATATTTTGGTAAATTGTAGTTCTATTCATAACTCTTCCTATATATGTTTTTTCATAACCCCTTAAAGGAGAAGGATTTTAGGAACCGAACTTGATCAAATCAGAACCTGTCTGCTTGGTTCCGGTTCAGTTTCATAACGAGACATGGAACTAGTGGTTTTATATTTGAGATACCAATTGGTACTTGATTTGGTTCAATTCTCTTAGAAATGCACATTACGGTACCTGCACCTACATATTCCCCGTGGATGTTACAATGAATCGGAGCTTAGAATTAAGGCTTACCTTCTTTTTGACAGGACAAGTTGGAGCAAAACAACACTTGAAGTAAGCTCTTGGAGAAGGGTTACCCCTTGTGACCTTTTGTCCATATTTCCTCCACTGATATCCATCCTTGACAACCTGTAAATTTAGTATACTTGAAATTTCAGCATAAGCAAAAAACAATTTTGCAAAAAAAAGTACTTATATAGTAAAATGCTCATATTTCATCTCATGAAGTCAGTTGACTTCTCCCGAATTCCTCTCAATATCTTGATGGACTTACCTTTACTTTTCCACACTTTTACAACAACAATAGTTAACTAAGCCTCATTCTTAGTAATTTCAGGATCGGCTACATAAGTCCTATTTCACTAATTCGATCGGTTTATTGCTAAATCTACCAAAAGATATAACTAATATAGTACTTACAAGGCTCAGATCAGATGCTTCTGTTCGTACGTGAACTCGAGAAATCGGTGTTTTTAAGTGTTCTTCCCTTGGTTTCTTGCATGAATCTTCATCACTTGAGCTACCCTTATCAGAGCCATTTATTCCATGATTAGTATTGGCATTGTTGATGCTGCTTTCAGCTTTTCTCTTTAGTGCAGGATTCTTAGATGTATACTCCGTTACTTGTTTTCGTAGTTCATTATAATTCTCACATATAACTGTTAATAGTTCTGTCAGTTCTATGTTTTCTGCACTCACCCTCTTTAGCTCCTCCATTAGAGCACCCCTCTGAAAAAAAAAACACTGAAGTATGAGAAAAAAAAAAGAAGACAATTATTCTAGTATAAAATCAGAATCCTAGTACATACGAGATTCCGAGAGAGAGAGAGAGAGAGAGAGATTTAGAAGAACGACTTTTCAGCCCACTATTTTCGACTAAGAAAATAGGATGTAATTACATAGCCATGAGGCGCTCAACGGACCTTTTTTTTTTTACTGCAAAATATAAAATGAAATAGAATGCTTAGGAGGGATATTATGAAATTCGAGTACAAAGGGACTGGTCCGGGCCAACCTAGTGTCGAAGAATTGCTGTGCAGTGGGAAATTCTTCTCTATCAAAAGTTCTCAGACGAGGTTTTTGAACAGAGCGAGGAGCGTATCTTAACTAGTTCTATCCTTCGACGGGTTAGGGAGAAACCGGTACTTTTAACGTATCTACATATATGTGTTGTTGTGAAAAATAAGTAGCAGTCACCTCTTCTTTCACTGCTACATTTCTTCCTAACTGAATGAAATCACTTTGCACCTCTTCCTTCTGAAAAAAAAAGAGATCAATCCAAGTTAGTGGCTTCGAGCCTTCGAGGTTTTTATACTGAAACTAGGGCCTTCGACAAGAGTCTTAAAACTTCACATACCAGTATCTGGGCGTCGTCGAAAATCCTTAGAGCTGGTTTGGCATTAAGATCCAATGAAGTATCAAGCAGACTAGTGAATTCCATAGCCAATGAGGAGATGATATATAGAATATATAGAACTTTTAGGAGATCCTGAGGTTGTAGGAAGGTACTGAGGAAGATGAATAGAAGAAGAGAAAGGAATATTGCCACTTGAGGGTTGTAAACTGGAATATTGGTAGTATCTTGGCTGGCATTTATTTATATTATGACAGTAGCCTGGTTGGTGACGGCAAGAAAAGTAAAATGTAAGTCGGTGTTGATTTGGGGTCCGGTAGAAAATTGAAAAAGATGGATAGAAATTAATAATATAAAAAGTTAGATATAAGTTTCATCTTCACTTGTTATGAAAATCTTGAAATCTATTTTAGCATCTGTTTGGTGTAATTTTATGTCAATTAATTTTAATCACGCATTTTATGGAATCCACAACTTTTTAACCATACATTTTATCATTTTTTTTATTTATCAAATCTATCAAAATTTTGATTTTATTCTACACAAAACACAGACGTAATTTACATGTGAAGCGATGCGTGAAGCTCTGTTATATTTCCTAGAAGCAAAAATTGAGTTAGTTGCAAGTTATAATGTAGAAAGATGTGGGGGACACGTTCTCAATCCATCACATAAACCAATGTCTTGAAATCCCTCGGACTCGTTCTAACTGAAATGATGGAAGAAGCTTTATGAAACTTCAAAATATTCAACTTCTCCATTTTGCCCGATTGTATCTATCGACATCGTCTGCATATTTTTATCTCACGTTCTTTTTACCCAAAATTGTTTTTGAATCGTTTGGTGTTTTTTAAACTCTCTATTTCATGATAAAGGACTAACTCGTCAATTTGAAATTTTTATTGGGACGTATCAAAAAGGAATTGAAATGGAATAAGATCGATCCATTGCTCCACGCTGATACGGACTCGACCCGCTCCTAACCAAAACTCGAGCGGTGACTGTGCAGTGATCTTAGCAATAATTACCAAATTTTATTTTAGATAATTGAAGATTTTTGTAATCTAGGTCAATTAATAAATAAAGAATAATAGAATATATAAGACTTTAGAAAACGTGTACATTGAAAATGCATAAAAAGTCAAGTCAAGCC